TATGTTTTGATTTTATTAATTTAGTGTATAAATGATGTAGTAGACTGAATCTACCTAATTAGTTTTTCCATAGCACAATATCTTCATCCAAAAATATAATTACTATTTTTTTTTTCATTTTGAAAAAAGAAGTAAAATGCCCCAATATTTGTTTTTGAATCCATCAAGATATTGTTCAAATAATTAAGATTTATTCTAAATGAAAAAGTTACTCCATTTTTTTCAGTAACATTTGGACTATACCAAAGATTTAATCTCAAATAACCCTGTAATATGAATCTCATTTATAATTAACATGAAGTCTGAGTTGGTGAATTATTGAATTGACCAAGTTCAAATGGCCACATCATATATATATATATATATATATATATATATATATATGATTTTAAGGCTGGAAATATCCTTCTGCCAACCTTTTGCATTACCAAACTTAAATTAATCTTAAAAAAAAAAAAAAAAAGAGAAACACAAAATATTCATCCAAGCCGTCGTTTACAAAATGTTCTTGGTGCATTTGTGGGCCGGATTTATTGTTTTCATGGTATTATTATAAAAGCCCATTTATCTCACGGGTAAATACAAATTGTAGTCCATGTAGTTTCCAAATTTGATCATGTTGGCTCCTTTACTCCAATTCTAATTATTCAAAGTCTTGTTGCATGGTCTTTCTATCCATGTTCATTTCTGAAGGTGTGAGGTCATACTAATGGTGGTGGTTTCACAACATGGACAATTTAGGTGGTTTCATTTAGATGACTTAGATGAATTGAGAATAATTAAAGTTGTCAAAGAATTAAGAATAGAACCAAAATTCTTGTTTTTTTTTTTTTTTTCATTTTTTCATTGTTTTCATTTTTTTAATGCATTAAATCTAAATCCTCATAGATCCAGCTAATCTCAAATTGACATTTTTCATAACTTTTAAAACCTTTGTTATCCATTTATGTCTAACATTCTTTCATCTAAAATTTCTCCAATAATATTGATTAGAATTGAGTATTTTATGATTGTGGCTGTTTTAATTCAAATTTAACCGGATTTAGTGAGTTGGGATATGACATTTTAGGGTGCAATTAGGGATTGTTTGGTGACTTGAGATTTTGATGGCACATGGAGTTTTTTCTACTTCTCAAAGATAATACTATTTTAGAGTAAAGCTCCATGCATGGTAAAAAATAAAGTCATAGTGAAGGGTTAACATGACCAATAAGTGAAACTATAAGGACCGCTAGTTGAATTTAGCGTTTATCTCACGCTTTAGGAGCTGGGACTCATTTCCTCCAGCTGACTGCATTTTTCTTAATATATATATATATATATTCGACTTCGAATGTGGACTGCACAGATGGAGATCATCTTTATCAGCCGTTTCCACCTACACGGTAGAGGAGGGAGATGCATCATCTGAGACTGAGTATTTCGCCGGTAAACATTGGATACCATTTATTTGTTGTATGGCCTCAACAGCGCTTTCGCCCAAGCTTTTAATTACTTACTCCTGGTTACTTTATTGATATAATAATAATAATAACAGTTACTTTATTCGTATTATAAGTTCCTTGAAAATTAGTTGTAAGTGAGTATTTATTCATTCATTAGAAGGGAAAAATAAACCATGAAACTGCTATCTTTATTTTCATATTTGATATATCAAGCCCTTTTCTTAAAATCAAATCAATTTCTTTTGCATTAAATTATAGCTAGAGATCCTGTTTCCAATTATGTTGTAATAAGTGGTATTAAAAGGATGATTCAACTTTTTTATGGAAAATTTCTCCAATTTTTTAAATCGAAATTTTTTTAAAATCTTTCAAAAGTAACTAACATTATTTGATGTCTATTTTGAGTAGAAAAACACATAAAAAAATTACATTTAAATTCATTAAAAATAATAAAAATATTTTCCTTTAAGTTATTTTTAATTTATATATATATATTTCTGTTTTATAGAATAAATATTATTAATTACTCTGAAGGGAATATAAATTTTGTCTGATGAATGAACTAAAAGTATTGCCTTGATTTGATCTAATTTAAAGTACACAACTTTATTAATCTGATCAAATATACAAAACAAAGGGACCACGTGTTTATTTTTTCCTTACCTACAAAAGGTATCTTGAATTTGATACATGTATGGAGGAGTTAAGTCTTCAAAGCTGCAACGGTGATGGGAAATTGGAACGGAGCAATTTGCTCAATACACACTCCAAGTTGTGGGGAATACAAACAAATTAAAGAAAACTCCTACCTAGGGCACGAAAATCTATGTATGCACGACTATAGGTGATTATTTGATTTTTTTAATATTTGGGTTTGATTTTAAGTTAATTGAACCCATTAAAAACATAATTGAATCCAAATTAAATTGATGTTTGGTTTTTCTTTTATCTTTTTATTGGGCTAAATTTATTTTTTGGATCCCAAATTTTGTGGAGGGAGGCAGCTGGAGGTGGTGACAGCGGCAATCTTGTTGGATTTCTTCATCACATTATTGTTTGTGTCTGCATTCTTTGGAAGATTGCGAGAGAAAACAAAGGAAGAGGGAAGAAAAAAAAAAAAAACAAGAAAGAAAGACTCGATTTGGAGAACTGAGAGAGCAAGCAAATACGGATAGAGAAAAGGGGAGAGATTGGATTTGGAGAATTAAGAGCCAGAGGTAGACAAAGAGAAAATAACAGAGAAAGTAAAGAGAAAAGAGAGTGAGAGCGCGGCGTGTCTGCAATATTAGAATTTCATTATATATATATAATTCCGTTTTCGGTGAAGATCGAACTAGATTTTTTAAAAAATCAAACGTAAACCAAAAAATCAAATTAAATTGGATTTGATTTCGAAAAAGTAAATTGAAATAAACTAATTAATAAAATTTTAATTCGATTTCCTTTTTCAATTTAAGTCGAGTTCCTTTTTCAATTTAAACCAATCAATGCTCACCCATCTCCATCAGCCGTACTCTTAGCTTTCTTATCGATGATATCCAGTGCTATTTCCCAGCAGCCTTGTGGCCATTTTATATTTAATTCTCATATATTGATACGAGTAGGCTTTATGGTGGGGGTTGCATGTTCATGTCCTATATCAAAAGATAGGGATTATGAATGTGATCGTTGACAAAATTATGAGCTTTGACCATATGATATGCTAGTGGTACCTCGTCTGGTTAGATGTTTAGGCACAATTTTCTTCAACCAAACTTGGAAAATCAATATCCTATTAAAAAAAAAAGGCTTGCACACAGTTCGCATATACCTTATATAATAAATATTATTCACACAACTTATACATTAGTAGCTACAAATAATCTAAACACGTATTTTCGAACAAATAGCTATAGCTTGGTCATAGATCGATGCTGAGGTTGCAATTTTCAGGTTGTTTAAACGATTAAATATTGTTTTTTCTTGACTGACAGTAAGATAGAGGTTTGTTTTTATCTTAGAGTCCAACAGTAAATACCTACAAAACAAAGTTTTTTCTATTAGTGTTTGGAGAATTTTTCGATAAGAAAGTTATGAGTGTTTGATTTAATTAGCTTTAAAGTATATCTTTGGTGAATTTGCCCTGACGTGGATATATGGAGTGAAAGACATGTCCATCTTTTTTTTCTTTTTTTTTTAATGGTAAAAGCATTTTTTTCATCTATTTGTACAATGACTTTTCACCGAAGTTTTTACAAGTTGAGAATCTTTTTATGTAAATATGTTGTGGATATTTGTCCAATTACCATTGTTATTTTACAGTAGCATGTGAATCAATGTCTTTTATTTAAAACCTGCTCTCTATGTTTTTTTTTTTTTTTTCGAGGAGGAAGAACTAAACCAGAGATTAGTGATGAGTTTGGCAAATGGGTGTTTCTAGCTGTGGGGTTTCTTTGCTACATGAGTCCTCTATAAGCATATTTGGAGAAAATGGATCCCTTTTTCACAGTTTGGTAAGAGACACATGCCGGAACATATTTTTATAGGTATATCAATTATATATTTTAAAAACTAATAAATCATTTCTCAAACCGGTTAGGAAACCTATTTTGAATCCTTGAATTTTAATTTCATACATGTTTATAACTTAGTAAGGTTATAGGTAGAGATGTTTATTAGTTATATATATATATATTCCATGGAATATATATCTTGCTATAAATAGTCCAACATACAACATTAAACCATGAAAAATGACAGCAATAAGAAAAGAAGGAGAATCCCAAAAATGGTGCTCCATGATTTTGCAACTACTCCATTTGCCGTGACGGCATCAAACATACGAATTTTGTGTGGAAGGCTGTGCTGCGAATTTTTTCCACATCTGGTGTGTCGTAAACAAAAGTTATTTGAAAGAATATTTTCTTCCATCCACATTGCAGTTTCTAGCAGTATCAATCTGTCACTTTCCAAATATCACCTAGCTAAACCATGTAGAGTTGCATTAATTTTAATTATACAACGCCAAACCTCATCTATATATGCATCTACTTCATTAAATGCACCGAGCAAATAACACGTTGGTCTTCATCAGCAAATTGTTCAATTATTCTTTTAGGTGCGCTAATTTTGATTACCAACTTAATTCGCTATAGTTCTTTTGGTTAATTATCTGACGACAAAGTCTTGCTTCCAGCTAATAGTTCTTTTGTTTTTAGAATGTTTTTTTATTGCTGTACAAGGCCTTTTTCTTATTTTTTCGCTACAACTTACAAGGCTACCTTGCTCTTAGTGGCTGGTATATATTTATATTTTTTTATTCTTTTATGGGTGGACTAACTAGGCAGAAAATCTGTGTGCATGTGCGTCTACAAATATTTCCTCTCATAATTAATATTAAATATTCATATTCGATAAATTACTCAAGTTTAAACAACATATACCTTTGCCGGTATGGAAAACATCCTCTCTCCACGCTCTGTATGTGTATATATATTTCCTCTTACAGTTACTCTAAAAGATTAATATTCTATAAATTACTCAAATTTAAGCAATACCTTTGCGGGTATGGAAAAAATGCTCTCTATCACTCCCTTCCACATTGGAGAGTTGGATACTCAGATTACTTTTGATTCAGATCGAAGCACTAAGAAAGTTGAAGTGAGAGACAATTCTCTTAATCCTGATATTCGTCTTGATCATAAGAAAGTTGTTACAGATGAGAAGGAATCAGAGCCTTCACAAGCTTTTAAAGGTCAATCTCTTGAAGATATTAAAGTCGAGGATGAAGATATCATTGTTACAGAAATTAATCATGGTTGGACAATTGAATTATCCATTCCTTTAAAAGATCGTCTCAAGTGGTCCTGGGAGCTCTCTGTTGTTGTCAAGGTTTTGGGAATAAGTATTGGCTACAAAACCCTATGTCTTCAACTAAAACTATATGGAATGCAGCCAAGACATTTAGGGTAATTGATATGAGCAATGATTTTTTTTTTTTTTCTAGTGCAATTCTCATCTAATAAAGATTATCTTCATGCTTTAGTTGGAGGGCCCAAAGCTATTTTAGGTCATTGCCTTACTATTCAACCCTAGAATCACAATTTTATAGCCTTTAAGAGTCGAATAAAAAGGATGGTTTCTAAATTTGATTTCATGATCTCCCATTAGATTGGTATCATCTTTGAATCTTTTGAGCAATGGAAAATATGATTGATAATACCATAAAAATAGACTACAACATGTAGACTATAGCCAAATTTTCTAGACTTGTCGTGGATATAGACACTGGACAAACTTGTTACTCGTACTATTCGATTGATGATTTAAAGTAAAACATTATTATAAAGTAGTGTTGAATATGGATTGAATTTTATGAGCCAATAATATATTTAGCCTATTAGGTTTTTATTTATTTATTTTAGATATGAGGTATTTAAACATCTTTATGTCTCTGTTTAAGAAATAGAGTGAAAGATAGAGATGTTGTATTGAGCCTCCAAGATTCTTGTATTCTCCTCGCTATCAAGCTAATAAAACTTTCCTCTCGCCCTTGGAGTAGGTAATTTACCGAATCACATAAATACTATGTGTTGATAGTTTGTTTAGCTCTATCTTTTTTATTATTGTTTGCCATTACTTGTCTTAGTTCTGCCGTTTGTTATAACAAACTAATATCAAAGCACAAGTTGCACATCTTTTGGTTTTCTATTCATAATGGCAGCTCCGAAATTTAATGTTATGCCTTTTGATGGTCAAAATAATTTTAGCTTATGGAGGATAAAGAGGAAAGCTTTGTTTCGATGTAAAGGTTATGTCAAACAATTGAGGGTATATGTCCGAGATGACATGACTTCTATTAAAATTGAAAAGATAGATGAGAAGGCTCATAGTGCTCTATTATTATTATTATTATTATTATTATCAAACAAGGGACTATAAGAATTAGTAGATGAAGATACGACGATGAGACGAGTGAAAGAAGTTAGAAAGCCTCTATATGAAAAAACCTCTTACAATAAGATTGTATTTGAAGCATCATCTTTATATACTAAAGATGCAAAAAGGTATATCTATTCAAGAATACCTTGATGAATTCAATAAGATTGTTATGGATATGAAAAATCTTGATATTAAACTTGATGAGGAAGACCAAGTTCTTATTATATTATTTTCATTACCTACTTCGTATAAGAATTTGTTAATTCAATATTGTATGGTAGAAAGTTCATAACTTTAAAGGATGTTAAGACCTCCTTTAATTCGCTAAGCTAAGACATAAGTTGAATGGTAAAGTCATTGATTGTTAGGCTAATGGTTTGTTAGTAAAAGGAAGCTATAAGGATAGAGAGTGTTATAAAGGAAAACCCAAATTCCATTATAAGTCTAGATCACTCTCGGATAAGAAGAACAATGTTGAGTGCTACTACTATCATAAGAAAAGACATTACAAATCAGATTGTCTTGCTCCGAAGAAGAAAAAGAAACTGTAAGGCCAATGTTTTGAGTCCGCTAATGTAAGGAAGGCTATTGATATTGATGTTGCTGAAAGCGTTCTTGTTGTATGTCTTTTAGATGGTCGTTCGATCAAGAATGGATTTTAGATACAAGTGCTTCTTTTCATATATCTCCAAATAAATAGTAGTTTACCATATATGAACTTGTAAGTGGTGGCTTTGTTCGATGGAAAATATTTTAGCTTGTGAGATGATCGGTATTGATATAATTCGTATCGGGTGTCATGATTTAGTTGCGACGACTTTGATGAACGTAAGACATATTACCAAATTTGAAAAAGAATCTAATCTCTTTAAGCTATCTAGATTTGAAAGGTTATAGCTATTCGATTAAAGTGGAATTCTTAAGGTTTTTAAGGGTTTTTTTTTTTTAATTATGATAAAAGCAACTCGGATTAATCGTCTCTATGTATTATAAGGCAATATAGTAACAAGAGGGGTGATTACTTTCTATTTTAAAAAATAAAGAACTCAATTGTGGCATATGCATTTGGCCATATGAGTGAGAGAGGTATGACTACTTTGAGCAAACGTGATTTGCTTTATGGTGATCAAATGACATCACTTGATTTCTATGAGCATTATGTCTTAGAAAAGAAGCTAGAGTGCAATTCGTATTGGCACTCATTCTATAAAAGACATACTTGATTAAAATTTAGATTTATGAGGACCAACTCGAGTTCCTTCCAAAGGTGGTGCACTTTATTTTTTTATGTTTATTGATGATTACTCTCTCAAGGTTTAGATTTATTTTCTCAAACATAAAAGTGATGTTTTCAAAACTTTCAAACAATGGAAAGTTCTAATGAAGAATCAAATAAAATTATCCATGGAGGTCCCCCGCCAATGGAAAGGACGTGCATCCCCGGACATAGAGATTCCCCTACCAATAGAGGTTTTCATATTGAGAACATAGGTTCTTACATTGAGAGCAAAGGTTCTCACATCGAGAACATAAGTTCTCGGACCAAGAACAAAGGTTTTAATACCAACAATAGAGGTTTTTGCATCGACAACAAAGGTTCTAGCATCCGTCACGATGAGTTTTACTTTTGTTGATGTATCTATCACTCTAGAGAGCTTCGAAAGCTCATCCAATCAGCAAATTATTTCTATCGCTCATGGATGGTATATAATTTTTTAAAGATGTTATTATTTTTTATTTTAATATATCATTTCAATAATTATTTTTTTTTATGATGTTCAACAGTTTTAGTCCACTTAGTAAAGATTATTTTGCCAAGATAACCAAGATTTTTAAGCGAGTAGTTGAACGCCGATGGATCGACTTGGAAGTCCATCTCGAGTGTCACTAAACAATTCTACTTTAGTTAATTTAGGATAACGTATTATTAAACTTTTATTATATTTAAAATATTAATTTAACATTAAATTAAGTAGTTAATATTTAAGTTTTTATTCATATAGAAATATTTTTACCGAGATCCAAGCATTGAAGAGATTGCTAGAGAAGCTTGGGAGGCTCTAGCAAAGAAGCGCTACTCCGACTTCATCTACGACCATGGTTCGATGTCCGAATGGCCTAATTTTATTAGGGAGGAGGTCCGAGACTCATGGCATCAAGATTTTACTAGACCTGATTGCAATTCTCATTTAGAGCAAATGTTCTAAAATTAGATGTCGGAGATCGATAGAACGAGTGCGGGCCCTTTCGGGCATACGAGAGAGTCCATCTATTCATAAGAGGTCAATTACTCGCTTAGTAAATCATATTTTATATTATTAATTAAATGTTTAAGAAACTTTTAATTTACATCTCATATTGTTTATGATTTAGTTTTTTCAAGAGACAAAATTAGGGCTTAAGCTAATGAGTTTTGAGATCGTTTTAAGTGGCGAGAGGTTTTTTCACTAATCTATGTGTCCAAGCATACAATAGTAAGTGTTTTTCATTTTTAAATTTTATATATGCAAATACAATCTAAAATTTATTTTAATCTCTTAACATTATAATTATTTTAATTATACATAAGTGTGTTAAAGAGATCATACGGAAAGTCGTTACGATGCAATAGGTGAAAGGCATTCTATAGCAAGAGGTTGACAAAGGTGCCATATACCTCGAGGCTTTAGCAGAGAAAAAGAAGAGGGCACATGGTGTTGGCATATAGGTGTCACATTATCTATCCCAATCAAGTGGCGCCGACTCATCCTTTTATTCGTTACATTATACCGATGGCATGTTTAATGAGGAGGTTTGAGACAATACAAGGAAGTAAAGTAGATAATAAAAGGGATGCAGAAGCGGACAAGACGAGTTGCAAAACATATTCACGCATCAGCGAGTTTCATATAGGGAATGTAGTCCAAATATGACACACTTGTCTCCATGTTGAATAGTCTATTATAGACGCCAGGATTGCCTATAGGTTTGTCTATAAGTCGGGATGCCACCATCCTTCCCACCGAGCCACGGGATGAAGAGAGGGGAACGGATGATCGGAATGAGTGACATTTCATTTTTTATTTCTTATTTTTTTTCACGTACTAGCAATTTTTTTATTATTAATTTAATTTTCATTTTAATAAAAAAATCAATTTTAATTATTTTTTTCTAATTATTAATTACTATCGAGAATATCATAAATTTAGAAACTAAAAAAAATAAAAACATAATTTTTGAATTAAAAAATCAATAAACATTGTGATGAAATAACGACGAGTGGGCGTAACGGAATAACAACAAAAACATTTAGCGATGGATTTTGAGATGGAATAACAATGATACAATCTTGGGATCGATGACTCATTATCAATGGAGTTTAGCCTTTTAACGAAAAATATGTTTCTTTAGTTGCTAGGGTTAGCAACAAGTGTTTTAGCGATAGAATTTTTATCATCGCAAATTCATCTCTAAACACTTTTTACGATGTATTTTTCTTAGTTAGCAATGGATATTTTCTTCGTTTATCGCCCTTTTCCTTGTTGTGTCATCCAACACTACTCCCTCTCGCTACACTCATCTCCTATCATACTTTTTTGCATAAAACTTATTACTTGTAAATTTCTCAACTGGAAAACTCATTTTTTGCCACTCGCTAAACTACCACAAGCTAACTAGTTTTGTTGACGGCACAACCTCCCCACCACTATGCACCATTCTATCGCCCATTACTCCCTCTACATCTCGTTCCCATTCCATATTTTAAATTATGGTTTCAAAAAGACTAACTATTACTTTCATGATTGCTCTCTTCTCTATCCGAGTATGTTTTCTCTATGTAATCGATGTAAAATCTTCTTGCTACGTTTAGAAGGCATTAGAAAGTACATTTAGTTCCGTATCTTAAAACCATCCGTCACTAATTATCTTCAAAAAGCTAAGAGCCTTGCTGATATCTTTACTAAACCCTCGTCCATCTCTCATTTTTAGTTTCTTAGAGACAACGTTCACTTAATAGACACCTAAGGGCTTGTCGATGGGTGTTAAAACTATTAGTAGTATAGGACTATTAGCATAAGTAAGGCTACTAGCATTGTTTAATCTCTTTTGATATCAAACACTTTGTATTTATCTTGTACAACTATAGACTCTTATCATAATTATGTCTCTTCATATAAATATGTTTTACATCAAGATTCATATAAACAAGAGATTTCAACTCTTCATATTGGGATCTTATGAGTAATGGTGTTTTTATTACTAAATTTGCTTATTTGATACTAAAACGACCTTAACCACTAGTTATTGATGACAAATAGAATCTTGTTTGGCATTAGAAAGGCCCTTAAAGAATACATGTGTTCTTATGGTTGCCTATCCATGGCAAGTTGCTCACTAATGAACAAAAGAGTTGTAGAGGCTTTACTAATCATTTGTCCTTATTGTGATGTTTTAGGTGAATTAATTTTTTATTTTTTTTGAGACTCGCTTTCTTGTAAAATCATTATGGGATTTATGTAGTGCCTTCCATATGATTCGAACTTTTTGATCCTTTCTTAAAGATTGATTTTGGTCTAATCTTATTACTAATCAAAATTATCATCTTCAGCTTTGTTTCATGGAGTACATAGTTTGGTACTTGTTGCTAGTTGTTGTGGAAATGGCATAATAAAAAGCCTATTTGAGATAGATTTTTCTCCTTTTACTAATTCGATTGCTATTGTCTACTCTTTAATCGCGTAGATTACTCGGAAGCTTAAAGATGATTCTCTTAACAACCACACCGGTTCTCGGGAAAATAAAGTTTTCATTGGTTGGCCAAAATCGTAAAAAATGTTAGTGAAGTTAAATATTGATGGCACACTCTGTCATATTATCAACATGTCAACAACTAGCGAGATCCTCGCCCGATGAATATAGGATTTGGATTCAAGATTTCTCTAATCATATTGAAATTAATTCGATTCACTATTCCAAACTCTAAGACATTTTTGTTAGACTAGAGATGACATGATGTATTGGTAATAAACAAGTGATACTTGAAGTCGATTCTAAGTTGGTTTTTCGGTTAGTGTCTTCTCAAGGCAATAGTCTTGGAGATTATAATCGGATGATGAATACTACTTGTGGTATCCTTTAGAGACTATGAAAAGTTCACATCGCTTATATGTATAAAGAAGCCAATTGTATTGCAGATTGATTTGCTTTTTCATGCTTATTCTTTTTCATAAGCGATTACTTATTATTTAGATGCTACTTGGAAATGTATGCATTTGTATTAGAGGACATTTCTAGAGTTAAAGCTTTTAGACTATGTAAATTGTACTAATCTTTATAGAGGTTTTCTTTTCCTTTGAATAATAATAAAAAAAATTGAGACTCGGATTGAGTTTTTTTTTTGTAAATAATAATAATAATGAAAAAATTTGTAATTAAAGATTGTAGATAAAGCAATGAAAAAGGTGACCCTAACTCATTAAGTTAGGAAATTGAAATTTTTTTACTCTCTTTTGATTGATAGCAAATATAAAGGAGCCATGGATTCAAATAATCTAATTTTTAAAATTATTAAATGTGAAATATAATGTGACATTGACCAATCGAAGAAAATAATAATAAATTTAATTTTAATTAATATAAACTGATCTGAGTACAACACACGGTACAATCATAATAATAATAATAATAATAATAAAACCATGGAAGAAATTATGTACCGTAAAAAATGCACAAACGCACATAGTTAAATAGTACTGCACGAACATTATTCTGAACGTAAAAAGCCTGATAGAAGCATTGAACGACCCCACAACAAAAATTAAAGTACCCTCTTCATCCTCATTTTTTCAGAAGTTGCACGACGCAACATGTAGATACCATCAAACATCCTCATGACAAATTTGATCGGAAGTTGGAAGACACGGTAGCCAAAAATTTCAAAATGGCGACATTTCATTTTATACATCATTTCAAATGTTTAACTTTTCATATAATTTCCCAATTTTTACCCAAAAAAGAAAAAAAAATCTATATATATATATATATATATATATATATATATATATATATATATATGTGGACAGCTCGGACCCAACTGAAAGCGTCACAATTTTCATTTTTATGAATCGAAAAACGTCAAAATTTTCTAAATCTTAACAACATATAGAATCCACAAATAGATGCCATACGTTTTTCAGAGCATAAAGGGAACTAATTAAATCAAGGGAGGATAATATGATCCAACTCCATAATCCCCACTCTCAAAGCATATCAAGAACAAATATGGAATGCTCAATACCACTGGCGTTTTCACTTATGCGCCCACAGTACCAGCGCAAAACCAGTTTTTTTTTTGCCCCTCTCTCGTTTTATTATTATTATTAATTTCTATTAAGGGCAAAAAAATTGTTTAATTTATATTTTTTCTCCACATGTACGGACTCCTGAAAACCAGGGACTTTTTGAGCTTTGCATTTAGCAATATTGTTTTTAACAAATAATATACGACGTGTTGAGCCGCACGAATTATTAGGTCTGAACTCGTGCTTCACACGTGCCTCTTTCCAATTTTTGTGTCTTTCTTCCACTTCCTTTTATCTGCCTCCCCTTCCTGTTTTCTCCTCGAACTTTTGTCCTTTTGGTTGTACTATAATTCTTTCTGCCCTTTCACAGAATGGAACTGAGAAAGGAACAAAAGTTAAATCCCCCATAAAAAAATAAAAAAGTTAAAATTAGTACAAGTTCATATTGTCTATACAATTTTTTTTTTTTAAAAAAAAACATATACTGGAGTCAGCTCCAACTCAAGACTTTGTCCCATCTTTTTCTTCTTTTGTTGGAGAAAGTATTCATCCATTAACAATTAAATATTTTGTTTTATACAGTGATTGAAATTGTACTTTCCATTAATCAAAAAGCTATTGAGGCTTACCCTGAAGGATAAAAAAAAAAAAAAAAAAGCTATGAAGACATGATGGTATATCTGTAATAAGTTTATGCATGTAGGGCAAAATCCTGACCAAAGAAAAAAGACAAGAGAATCAGGCTTTTCCAAAGAAAGCACCCTACCGAAACAAGAAAAGATTAGGAACAAAACCCCTAGTTTTCAGCTTTCAATTTCACTCTCCAAAACACCTCTCCTTTGGAAACCGCTGCGCCTCCTCATTCACCAACTCACCCACCAACCCTTTGCCCTTAAATAGCCTCCCTTCCTCTTCTCCTTACTTATCTTTCTCTGTCTCCATATCCGTACAACAACCCTCCTCTCTTAACTCGGAAACATTAACCATGAGAATGAGCTGCAATGGCTGCAGAGTCCTGCGTAAAGGTTGCAATGATAACTGTACCATTAGACCTTGTCTTCAATGGATCAAATCCCCTGATTCTCAAGCCAATGCCACTCTCTTCTTGGCCAAGTTCTATGGTCGTGCTGGCCTCATCAACCTCATTGAAGCCGGCCCCCAACAGCTCCGCCCAGGTATACACACGCACACATATTGTACATTCTTTCTAGTAAATGTTCATTTGGGATCTGATTTTGTTTTTGGCTTTGCATGCAGCTATATTTAGGTCATTGTTATATGAGGCGTGTGGTAGGATAGTGAATCCGGTCTATGGGTCAGTTGGCATGCTTTGGTCAGGTAATTGGGCCCAATGCCAAGCAGCAGTTGATGCGGTGCTCAAAGGGTCACCCATCATATCAATGCCTTCTTCATCTGAGGTACCAGCACCACACTTGATCTCTTCTCACAACACCTACGACATACGCCACGCGTCCAGGGACCAAAGCTCTCCTGAACTCAGCAAAGTTAAGAACAGGTCTCGGTTCAAGCGATCCATTGGCACCAGACCCAATTCACCAGCTGAGCCAACGGGCAGGATTAACCCGGGAGAGTTGGGATTTGAACCGGTTCGTGAGCTGTGGCTGGGTCATCTGGGAACTGGGGATAGTTGTATCAAAGATGAGGATAGCATATTCTCTGTTGAAACTGTGGAGGGTTCTTCGTTGAGTCGGGTAGAACCAGGCACGGTCTTTAAATTTAATGGACAAAGTGAGGATAGGGATGTTAGTTTGGACCTGACTCTTGGTTTGATTTCAGAATAGTGCAAGTTAAAAGAGATAACTGCGTGTTGATTGGGTTGAGGCATGCCGCATGCAGGTGTGCTAGCTAGCTAGCTAGCTTGATCATGAGATCATGCATGGTGAAGCAATTTTGACGACAAATGGATAGCAATTCAGTTTTACATGCTCTTCTTTTGCTAGCAATCCGCATATATATATTGTCCGAATAATTTTGTTATTTTTTTCTTAAGAAGAAAATATGAAACTCTTTCTCTGGTGTTTAAGTAGTTGTCAGGGTGGGGTGGATTCTATAGAAGCGAAAGGCATATACATTAGGGATATATAATTTTTTTTTTTTAGTGAGGAATATGGATAGATGTTTTTCTCAACATCAATTAAATATATCGGATTGGTGAAATGAAAAATCAACAAAATATTTCATGTCTTGCATGTCTCATAGCTCCTCCTTGTTTTGTGTTCAAAATTGAATGAGCCATACCAATTAATTAATTTATCTAGTACGTACTTTTAAAAAAAGAAATTCATAAAGTACTAGCTAGCTACGTTCTATTTGAACACCATTCTTTTTCTCTTAATTTACCTTCTATTTTGAGGTACTATAGATGATAATGGTGATTAATTAATTAATAACTGATAAATCTGGTGGCCAATGAGGCAGTAGTGTCTTCCTCCTTTCATAAGGACTAGAGTTCTGAGATCTTGAGGTTTCGAGTTTGAACATTTACTTAGTAAAAAAAAAAAAAAAACCCTGATAAATCTGGTGATCATGGTAATAGAACAATCACGAGCATTTTGCTTATATGGCCGTGAGTTCACGCCAGGTCATGTTGTGGCTGAGTGAGGATTCAGACAGCTGCTCTTCATGCATCGAGTCTTGGGGATTGGGATCTTCCATGTTTCATCGCATGTATTGGCTCTAACTCGGTTCTAATGCTCCAAGCGAATATAAACGTTCTCACTTCTGCCTCCGTCAATTTGTAGCAGACCTGACTCCTTTTAATTTTAGTTGTATCAATTAAAAAAATCGTATTAAATCATGAAAAGTTGGTGACCTTTTACGTTTTCTTTTTATTTTAATTAGCAAGAACAAGCTAGATATCTTGAGGTAAACTTTGCATTAAGATTAATTTTGTTTTTTCGTTTAATAAACAAATATTACTATTTATGTAAAAACTAAGATATCTATAATAATTATGTTTCTTACAGCATGTCAAGATTCATGAGAATTTTATTTTTCACAATGACTTAGAGATTTATGTTAAAAACAAGAAATTGATTTTAAGTTTTCCTAATATAATTTAGAGATTTGATTTTATTTCTCAAGACATGTCAAGATTTATGAGAATTTTACTTTTGCGTGAGATCTATATTAGAGAAGTAAAATGATTTTAAGTTTCCCTAATATTATTTCTTTGGTCTAATAAAAAATAGTCTATTACAAAAATGTGAAAAAGCAACTCCATGAATATCTCCTTGAAGGAGGTTACTACGATCTACTCGGAGCACACTCCAAATACAAAATGCCTAAAGGAAGGGAGTAAGTATACGAAGCCGCCTAGTCGACCAAACGGTTGGCTTCTCTAAAACTATGAGTTACTCGTACTTACTAGAGCTTTTGGAGAAAATTGCAAATAATGGAGATCAACCGATAATAAAGCCTATAATGACCCTTAAAAGACAGGATTCACTTGATCGCAACCAAAGAGTCCGATTCCAAATTAAATAATGTGTCGATATCCCGCATTCCAAGCCATCTCCAAACTAATTGCAATGTCCCAAAATTCAGCATAAAGAATAGTACAAATCCTTATTTGATAGGAGAAACCATATAACCGAGCTCTTGTATCATCCCTAAGAATTCCCCCAATCGTAGCAATGCCTACCGATGCTCGAAGAGCACCATGTGTAATGAACTTTACCTATCCCGATTGTGGTTTGACCCAACTAATCAAAGTTTCAACCTTTTTCTCATATGACTCGTTTAACACAGAGGTCATCTCAAAGTAGTAGCAATATTATTACAAAAGGCATGAATGACTTCAACTAGCCTATTAGACATAATGAAATTTTCATCAAAAATCAATTGTTGCTCTTACACCAAATAAACCAAGTAGCAAACTCCAAACAATGTGCTCCAAGCCAAGCCACTCGTTTTTGGATTAACAGAATCGGATTTTTTAAAGTTTAAACAGATCCATTCTTTAAGGTCAAGAGAAAAGTACAAATGAACCATATTATTTGCTCACACTTCATTCCAAACAACGAGTGTAGTACGACAATCTCTTAAAACACGAATAATGGCTTCATGATTGTTATGGTAGCAAGCATAAAAAGGGTTAGTTGTCTAGCCCCTACGCATTCTTTTCATGTAAGTGAGAAGTTGTCCATAGATTGTAAGCCATGAGAAGGCATGAATACATTGAGGTCCTTCCCATCGCCACACCAAATCCCATATATGCGAGGTTGTTGATAAGCATCGGTTGAGAAGAGTCATATGTAGACTTTATAGAGAATAGTCCATTATTGGTGAGAGTCTAAAACGACATGTCTTCTTCTTGAAATGGAGCCGGTAGAGGCAAATCCGTAATTTTCAAACATATAGCATTAAGATGTAAATTACCAAAAATCTCCTACATCCATTATCCCATACTCGTGATATACTCTCCAATCTTGCTCATAGTGATCTCAACTGGAATAGGAACCAAGTCATGATCTTTGAGAGGGCCAAGAGAAAGGACAAATTGTCTATCCAAAAACCAATCTTTTGACCATTACCAATAGACCACCCTATATATTTCACATCATTTCGGACCTTGGAAAGCTTTTTTCATATATTAGAGCAACCAACATGTAAGGTAGAAAAAGGCATGTGTTTAATATTAACCTTATACTTACTCGCACAAAATACTAACTTAGTAAAAAGAATTGATAAATATGATTTTCCATCTTATTTTTGTGAGTAAAGCATTATTCACTCGTTGTTAATTTTGGTAACCTAAGCCCATCATGCTTTTCATGCCGACATACATAATCCCAAGAGACTCGATAAGTTTTTCAATTTTTGTTTGAACTATCCCAAACAAAACCTTTACAAAGTTTTTCAATAGCCTTAATAGTCGTTACTAGAAGATGAATGGTCCGTATGCTATAAATAGGAATGACAATGAGAACCAATTAAGTTAGAGTTACTCTACCTATAAGTGTTAATTATTTAGCCTTCTATCCCAATAACCTCTAACAAATTTTCTCCATTATATGTTCATAAATGTTCTTGCTGACTCGATTATGATGAAGAGGCACACCTAAGTACATTCTTATGTCTTCCGTTAGTTTAAAGCCCGAACGATTATTAAGAAGTTTGGTTTTCCCTTTCAGGACATTAAGACTACGTAAAAGCCGAGTTTTGAAAACATTAAACCTTTGATCCGGAGCTAAGCAAAATTTATTGAGAGCCTCCAAGATGACATTCAACTGGTCATACTTAGCCTCCGTATAAAAAATCAAGTCATCTACAAAGAACAAATGTTTAATTGATGGTCTACACTTTTTTTTTATGTAAATTGGTCTCCATTTTTTTTTATCTTGAACAACATTTTGAATTAGATGACTCAATCTTTCCATGCATAGCACAAATAGATAAAAAGATAATGGATCTCTTTGTTGGATGCCTCCGGTTGGTTTGAAACCATCGGTAATCATACCATTGAAAGCAATTTCCAACTCGACTAAGGAAATACATTTCATAATTAATGAGCATAAGGGGTAAGGCAGTTGCGAGATCAAGTAAAGTATCCAAAACAAACTCCCACCTAAGCTTGTCATAGGGTTTTTCTAGGTCCACCGTAATTGCCATCCAACTCTTTTCCTCTTTCTTATTGTTTATAGAATGGATGACTTGTTGTGCAGGTGATGATGTTGTCTATAATTTTCTTTCTTAGAACCAAGCTCACCCGAGTGGGCTGAGTGGTTTCGATCTATTGATAATGACCTTCGTTAGCACCTTGTGAGATACTTTGTATAAACCTATTGGACGAATTGATTGACCATCTTTAAGACATCTACTTTTGGAATCAAAATAATATAGTTTTAGATAGAGCGAGGTCCTAAATTTCGTGCTTTTATTTATTAGATGTACCTATAAAGAGACTTTCCAACGATATGCCATTGCGACTAATAAAAAGCCGCATGAATTCCATCCAACCTAGGGGCACTATATGGTTGCATGCTAAACAAGGCTTATTGTTACTTTGGATTTTGAAATTGAAATGTACAATTATTGCAAGTTATAATAAGGAATGTAAGAGAATGATCCATGGTTTAAAGAAACTTTAGCAGTCTACATACTCTTTTATAAATAGTCTCTTCTATTGAGCAAATATGAGGGAGTAGATTTGGTTATTGTCACTATACCAAATGCCTTAATCATCACTTAATCTATGCCCCTTATTTGTCCTCCTTTTAACCACCATCGTAACATGTAATATTTTGTATTTCAATCCTCGTAGGCCGACCACTCACACCTTGCCTTTTGAAACTAGTAAAGCTACTCGTCTTAATAGGATATTTTCATATTCACACCATAAATGATTCTCTAAATAGATAAGAAAAGGGTTAGAATTAGTGTTAGAAGCTTGTTCTATCCTAGTTAACCAAGCTAAGAAATGCCTTAATCTACCCACCTTATTTGTCTTCCTCTTAACCACCATCATAGCATGGTAATATTTTATATTTCAATTCCCGTAGGCCAACAACTCACACCTTGCCTTTTGAAACCAAGTAAAGGTCCTCTCTTAATTAGATATTTTCATATTCATACCATATTTGATTCTCTAAATAGATAAGGAAAGGGTTAGGATTAGTGCTTGAAGCTTGATCTATCCTAGTTAACCAAACTAAGAGATGCCTTTTGAGCTTAAACATACCACCAATGGATTTAACATTCCATCTTTTGATAGCTTCCATAAACCCTTTCTTAGCTTCGGAGAAAGACAAAGTAAAATGCCAAGCTTTTTTAACAAAAT